AGTCTCAGGCGGGAGCTCCCTCCCTATGGGGCCCGCAGATCATGTTGGTAATCCGAGCGGGTCATCGGAACCCTGTAACTGTCGTCACTTTTGGGCTCCTCAAGCCTGAATTTGGAGGAAGTCTCAGGCGGGAGCCTCGTCTGTGAGTGAATTCTGAGGAAGGCTCAGGCGGGAGCCCCCTCCCTATGGGGCCCGCAGATCATGTTGGTAATCCGAGCGGGTCATCGGAACCTGTAACTGTCGTCACTTTTGGGCTCGTCAAGCCTGAATTTGGAGGAAGTCTCAGGCGGGAGCCTCGTCTGTGAGTGAATTGGAGGAAGTCTCAGGCGGGAGCTCCCTCCCTATGGGGCCCGCAGATCATGTTGGTAATCCGAGCGGGTCATCGGAACCTGTAACTGTCGTCACTTTTGGGCTCCTCAAGCCTGAATTTGGAGGAAGTCTCAGGCGGGAGCCTCGTCTGTGAGTGAATTCTGAGGAAGGCTCAGGCGGGAGCCCCCTCCCTATGGGGCCCGCAGATCATGTTGGTAATCCGAGCGGGTCATCGGAAACCTGTAACTGTCGTCACTTTTGGGCTCGTCAAGCCTGAATTTGGAGGAAGTCTCAGGCGGGAGCCTCGTCTCTGAGTGAATTGTGAGGAAGTCTCAGGCGGGAGCCCCCTCCCTATGGGGCCCGCAGATCATGTTGGTAATCCGAGCGGGTCATCGGAATCCTGTAACTGTCGTCAATTTTGGGCTCCTCAAGCCTGAATATGGAGGAAGTCTCAGGCGGGAGCCTCTTCTGTGAGTGAACTGCGAGGAAGTCTCAGGCGGGAGCCCCCTCCCTATGGGGCCCGCGGATCATGTTGGTAATCCGAGCGGGTCAGGAATCTGGCTGCAGGTGCACGGCTTCAAGGAGTCTCCGATCTACCAGGAGGTCGCCGAGGTGCTGCGACAGGGCGCCGAAGGCGCCGACGACGACGGCCAGGCCGAGGCGCGGGCGCGGAGCTTGCTGATGTTCAGGCCCAGCGAAAGGGAGTTCACATGGCAGAGCTCGGGGGCGCACAGCGTGCGCCGCTCGGGGTTCACCCTGACGCACGCGTCCTACCTGACCTCCACGCTGTCGCAGGGCCAGACGCTGCGCAAGGGCGTCACCATCGACTGCGCGAGAGACGAGGACGCTGGCCGCACGGGCATGTCGGACGAGCAGTGGTGGCTGCACCTCTACGTCATGTTCTCCCGCGCCACGTGCATGCGGAACATGCTGATCCTGCGGCCGCCGCCGCGAGAGTTCCTGGAGCGCGGGCCGCCGGCGTCCCTGCGGAAGGCGCTCCTGGAGTTCGACAAGAGAGCGGTTTTGTCCAGGGCGGAGGCGAAGCAGCTCGCGGCAGAGCTGGGCTTCGTGCTGCCTTCCGCCTGAGCGCGGCTGCGCCTCGCTCGAAGCCCGCGGGGTTGTCCCAACGGCTTGGTCTTGCGCGCCAACGGCTCGCGGGGTTGCCCCGACAGCCTGGCCCGCGGGGTTGTCCCAACGGCTGCGCGACGTGACCAGTAGAGAACGCGCCTGTGCTGGCCGTGGCGGCGACGGCGCCGAGGAACATCGACATGCGCGCTCATGCAACAGGAAGGGGAGGAGGTGGCGGGGCGCGGAACAAACAGGGGGGCGAGGATGGGGACAACGTAAGGAGTGGAAGGGGGGCCCGCGCCAAGGCGAGAGGAAATATACGCAGAAGAGACAACCAGGACGCCTCACCAACCACGAGGACGACGGTGATGGCTTTTTCCAGATTCGCCCAGAGGATTCTTATGTGGGGTTCTTCCGTCGGAGTAATTATTATTACTACTACAACTACAACTACCTCTACTACGGCCACTACTACTACCACTACTACAACTACTACGATTACTACGATTACTACGATTACTACTACTACTACTACTACTATTACTACTACTACTACTGCTACTACTACTACTACTACTACTACTACTACTACTACTACTACTACTACAACTACTACCGCTACTACTACTACTACTACAACTAGTACTACTACTACAACTGCTACTACTACTGCTACTACGACTACTACTACTACTACTACTACTACTACTACTACCACCTCTACTGCTACTACTACTACTACTACTACTACTACTACTACTACTACTACTACTACTACTACTACTACTACTACTACTACTACTACTACTACTACTACTACTACTACTACTACTACTACTACTACTACTTACTACTACTACTACTAACTACTGCTACTGCTATCGCTACTACTACTACTACTACTACCACTACTTACTACTACTACTACTACTGCTACTACTACTACTACTACTACTACTACTACTACTACTACTACTACTACTAACTACTACTGCTACTGCTACTACTACTACTACTACTACTACTACTACTACTTACTACTAACTACTACTACTACTACTACTACCTACTACCACTACCACTACTACTACTACTACTACTACTACTACTACTACTACTACTACTACTACTACTACTACTACCACAACTACTACTACTAATTTCTACTACTACGACGACGACGACTACTACTACTACCACTACTACTACCGCTACTATTACTACTACTACTGCTACTACTGCTACCACTACTACTACTACTACTACTACTACTACTACTACTACTGCTGCTTCTGCTGCTACTACTACTACTACTATTACAACTACTACTATTACTACTACTATTACTATTACTACTACGGCTACTACTACTACTACTACTACTACTACTACTACTACTACGACTACTACTACGACTACGACTACGACTACGACTACGACGACGACGACGACTACTACTGCAACTACTACTACGACTATTACTACTAGGTACTACTACGAGTCGTGATTCGAATCGTGATTGTAGTCGTTGTTATAGTTGTGATCGCTGTGGTGGCTGTAGTCGTAATCTGAATCGTAACCTGAATCGTAATTGTAAGCGTCGTCATCGTTGTCGCGGTGGAGATTTGTTTCCTTCTATTGTTGGAATAATGCTCCCTGGGCTACCCTGCACGAAAGAGGCATTATGAGAGGCATTTTGAGCACGTCTGAAATCGAATTGCAATAGAGATCGACACATTTTTCGCCGAAGGCGTTGCTCACAGCCTCCTCTTTCATCTCGTCGTCGTCGTTGTTGTGTGGCGGGTACCGCGGAGAAATGGCTATTTTCCTTTATCGGTGTGGCCCGAGTCCGTCAATTAGGGCGTCGAAGAGATAATTATTTTCCACTACAAGAGACGTTTCCCGGTTAGTCGGGCGTATTCGTTTTTGATTCTTCTTACGGAGACTTCCCAGCAGTTGCCGCCGAATCCACGGGGTCAGGTTTCCTGGTAGGCGACCGTCGACCCCAACGGATGCAGGATGGTTTTTGCCCAGGTGCCCCGCGCGGAATGTATCCAAAGGGTCGCCCGTCCATGGAGCGCGCCTCGTTGTCCAGATCGTGAGGGCATGGACATGTAGATGCACGTCCCTCCTGGGATCGACGACGACGAGGATGAGGAGGAGGAGGAGGACCGATCGGGCGTCGAGCTGAGGTTCGAGGATCGATACCGCTTCTGGAGTTCACCCTTCTGTCGTTGAGGAGTGAGGAGGAGGAGGAGGAGGAGGAGGAGGAGGAGGAGGAGGAGGAGGAGGAGGGATTGGGAGGGTTGAGAGGACCGTGGATAGAGGATCGATCTTTTGTTGGCTCGGTGGTTCTCTTTTGAGACTGAGAGGTCTTGTTTTCGCCACTCGCCTCGGAATCCTGGCGCGGAGCAGAACAGCACCAGGCCGTGGAATCGTGCCGGGTCGGCGGGGCGATGGGATCCAGGGAGGAATCATGGAGGAAGGACGGCTACAATCGGCCCGGATTAGTAGGTCGACCCTGCCAGATCAAGGGTACCCTCGTGTCCTGTGTCTTGCGACCCATGCCTCCTGCACTTCTGTGGCAACGTGGCCCCCGGAAGGGTCTTGTGTCCTCTCGCGTGTCCTCTCCAATCAAGTCCGACTGTAGCAGGATCGAAGGGAGTCCCAGGCGCCGAGGCAGATAGCTCGGTAGCAAATCATGGGAGCCTTGTATGCTTTTTTGATTCAATACTTGGCGTCGACGAGTGTCGATCAGCGTTTGGGAATCGATGAGGTTACGCCGATTTAGCCTCGATTAGTTTCGTTTTTGCGTCGTTTAGCGTCCTCCAGTTCCGACTAGTGTCGATTCGCAAGGGCCGGCGATATGGTATGGGAGCCTTCAAGAAGTTGCCACCGAAAGATGGGCGGCCATCCCCTCGGCCCTCGCCGACACGTCCCTCTGGTCGCCCTCGCCGGCGCTGGATGCGAGGGGGCGGCGCCTGTGTCGAGGCCGTCCAGATGGGCCAGCGCAGGCAGGGTGTCGGAGGGTCGCACCGCAGTCGCCAGCGGATCGGCGATGCCGCGCGACCCAGAGCCTCACGTTCTGTCCATGACGACGTCGCCGACGCACTGGGCGAGGCGGTGCGGTCCTCCAGCGCTGGAGAGCTGGGCTGGCCCCTCTCGGGCGTCCTGCACGGTGTGGGGGCGGGCGTTGGGGGGTAGATGTGAGAGGTCTGAGGGGAAAGGTTTGAGGGTTTCCAGTTTCTGGGCCGCCCAGATGGGGCCGAGTAGGTGGGGTCGAAGGATCGCTCCGCATCGGCGATGCATCGACAGTGCGGCTCTATGTGGAGCCAGAGTCTCTCCACGCCGACGGCGCCGATGCATCGCCGACGTCGCCTATGCATCGCTGATGCATTGACGCTGTATCGTCGATGCGGCGCGATCTTCCGACCCCATCTACTCGGGCACAAGTTGGGATGCCTCTACAGTTGGAACCCAGTGTTCCCCAAAGTGGGAGCGCATCTTCTGCACTAGACTGTGTTTGTTCCAGTGTTCTGATGGCTCAAGACATTTAACGGCTCAAAGAGTGACAGATCGTGATACAAGTTGTTTGAAAAGTTTAAGTTTGTGCCTTCTGTCGGATGATGTCGGCAGCGGCGGCAGCCTGGCTCCTCACCTGTGCTTGCCTGGCGGCGGCCTCGCGTCCGCAGACGTTCGTCGGCCTCGAACGTGAACGCCACGAGGTGGACGCCGTGGGGGAGGAGGGCCTGATCGAGTCTTCATCACAGAGCAGAGCTCTCACTCGCGGCGGCAAGTACCTCCACCCTGGCTGCCCATCCGACGCCTTCGCGCCGACCGGCCCTACCGACGCGGTGTGCGGCTGCATGTGCTTCAACACGGCGGACACCAAAGCCAGGGTGGACGGCGGCGCGCCGCAGTGCCTGACCTGCGAGGAGGGCACCCTTGTGGCGTGGGAGGCCAGGATCGCTCCAGATGCCCCGACGGATGGGCGCTCGCCGGGGACGAGCCCTTCTTCTGCGAGAGGGAGTGCCGGGAGTGTGCCGTGCCAGGGGGCCAGAAGGAGGGCGCGAGCGGCACCCTCGGGAAGGACGTGCCGCTCATCGAGTGGGACGGAGGCGACTGCGGCTGCACGATCCGGCGCCCCGTGCGCTGCATCGACCAGGCCGCGAACGCCGCGTACAGCTTCCGCGGCCGCGTCGTGGCAGGGTCGCTCAGCGAGCGGAAGGATGGGGGAGTACCTCGTGTGCTCCTGGGAGGAGGAGAGGCCCGTGGGGCCGGGGCTCGTGCAGGAGGCCGGCTGGGACGTGGCGTGCGTGCGGAAGGTGACATCCCGCCTCACGCTCTGACGTGCGGGCCTAAGAATCAGGCGTGGCAGGGGGCGTTGGTCGACTGGTTCGTCTCGGTCGACAGCGCAGGCAGCGGCGCGCCCTACCCCGTGTGCTACACGATGGCCGCAGTCATACTCGCGCGTCTGGGCGCCGTTGGCACGGGCGCCGACGACATCGAACACAAAACTCGAAAGGGTCAGATTGCGCAGGAGGTCAGCTTCATGAACAGCTACGACCGCAGCCGGCTGGTCAAGCTCGCGGATTTCATCGCCTTGCGCATCAAGCAGTTCGACTCGGCCTGCCGCATAGGCTTCGACCGCGGCATGCCGGACGACGGTCGAGCGATGCAGGAGCAGATGAAGGACAACATGCTCAAGCACTCTAACGGCACCATTGAGGTTGCCTTCCCAGAGGCCACGATGAGAGGTGTGCCGAGTGGAAGGGTCAACTGTCAGGACGCGTGCTGCCCATTCTTCGTGAAGGGTGGGTTGAATGGCGAGGCCGCCCTCAAGGACGTCGCGAACGTTTGCGCTTCATACTGCACGTCGCACGGGCGAAAGACTGGCATGTGCGTAGAGGAGTATGATGTGTGACGATCATGCCCCGCCAGGTTGCTTGTCCGCCGTTCCGAATCAAGCAATCGGTTGCGTGAGTGATAGATTAAGCAGCCTCTTGCTTCATGCACATGAGCCGCCAGTGGGCCAATGGCAACCTCCAGCCGCAGCAGCTGCGGTATTGATCACAGCGTTTGATGGCCCAACGCTCGTGCTCCTCATGCAAATGGATGATCATGCTTCTGCGCTATCTCCTCATTCGTCTCAATCGCGCAGTTCAATACAGAGCTTTCTCATCCCAGGGGGCGCCATGGAGGCAATATCGAGAGCGGGGGTGCGAGGGCTGAAAACAAGGATGGCCCAGTCTTGCGTGTCCAATGGAAGAATGGTTTGCGTGTGGGAGGGGGGCCGCCTCCATGGCCTTCAGTCCGAATTGTTTTAGTATCCAGTGAACGGGGACAGTCACGCGCCTTCCAGAGGAGCCATTTAAGACCCCCCTGTCTCTGGACCAACTGGTGACAAAAACGGAAGACCCCCCCAGGCAGATCGAAGCAGACCCCTTTCCGCCAGGCACCCTGGGACATCAACATCAACATCAAAATCAGGCCCGTTCCCCTCTCGCCAAGACAGCCCCGACCAGACCGCCCCCAAAAGCAGACCATGAGACCCCCGTTGCTTTGAAATTCGGTGTACCTTGTGCGCGGCCCGGTCCCCGGCGGCCTTGGAACCGAGGACCTGATTGAACATTGCAGTGCTGCGTTGGATGTTGCCCCAGGCACAGCCGTCAATGCGACGGCGCCGCGCCGCGCCCCGAGAACAACGTCGAACGCGGCCTGGCTGAGTCTTGGGGGGGTGTCTCGCGCGACGGGCCGTTCTGAAGGTCACCGCGCCTGGTAAGGTTGAGTGACGTTCCCAAGAGTACCCTTGCATCCCTGCCTACTCCGCCGATCCTTCGGACATCCTTAGCTCAAATGTCTTCAACGCGGGCGTCCGAGGGGCATGCGCACTCACCGCGCGTCCTTGCTCTACGCGTTGACTGCGCAGGGGAAGGTGCTCTGGTCCGGCGACGGCGACCGGCTCTCCCCGCTCGAACTCCCCCTCTCGCTTAGACTCTGGAACGAGAATCGCTTCGCGCCCCCGCTCCCCCCTCGGTTCTGCTTTCCCGGGCGGGGATTTTATCCGTGGCCGCGGCGTGGTTTCGTGTTCGGAGGGCGTCTGACGCGGCATGCCGTTTTGAACTGCAGTGGGCGGTTTTCCTGGTCCGGCGACGGCGAGCGGCGCTCCTCAAATTCCCCCGCTCAGCTTAACCCTGAAACCACAAGGCTCTTCTCGCTGCATTGCTATGCTGTAAAAGCCGCCTTGGATCATATCAGAAAGGATTTGTTGACAGAGGATCAGATGGTCACGGCGTAAGAGAAGGTCGTCAAGTACGACAACGAGAAGCTCTCCCAGTTCCTGGGCATCCCCATGGCAATAACGACCCAACAGAATACTGGCGTTTGGGTTGAGTTGGCCAGGAAGTTCGCAATACATGCACATCATCATGCAGTTAATACTTTTGTCAAGCATCATACTATTTTTTGGAAAAACGTAAAAGTGAAAAGCGACAGCAGCTTGATGAAGCTTCGCAGCGCCTACAGCGAATGGATGGACAGGAGGTGGCGCTGCGCGCGGTGATTGAGAAACATTGCGCTGAGCATCCCCGCGGGAAGCCATCAGACGTCAAACGCCCTAACAATAAAGCTAGCATTGCGAAGATGGTGAGCACGGAATATGGCATCAAATGCGATTTCAAGACAACCACCCCCCCCCCCCCCCTCCTCCTCGAGCCACGCGGCTCTTCCGTTTACTCGGGGCGGGAGGGGCAAAGGCAAGGGCAAGTGCAGCAAGGGAACAGGCGAGGGCGCGGCTGGGCCCACCGGTCGTGGCAAAGGGCGAGGCGGTGGCAGCTGGCAGGCGGCCACCTACAACGCCAAGGGCTACGGCAAGGGCTACGGCAAGAACGCCAAAGGCACCAACAAGAGCAAGGGCAAGAGCAAAGGCAAAGGCAAAGCGACGGGCAAAGGCAAGATCAACCCTGGCCAGAACGGACGCGGCCGCGGCCGTGGTCGCGGTCGCGGGAGAGGCCGGGGGCCGAAGGGCCGAGGACGAGGCAAAGGGAAAAGCAAAGCTTAGTCCGATGCCTCAGTGGGCGCCGACCCAGGTACCCATCATCTAAAAGTTCATGGGATTACCTCCGTGTGCTCCTTTGCCGCATGAACCCCTCGCGTCTGAGACGCTGGATACAAGCCAGGGGCATATTCGACTTCGTCGGGCTAAGCCCGCGGATTGCCGCTTTTCTTGGATGCGCTGGGGGTAAATTTGCGATGGCATCTTCGTTTCATCGTTATCGCGCGTCCATGTTGTTGGGCTGGAAAAATTTCGAACGCTCTGTTTGGTTGAACGCCTAATTCAAAGTAGAGCGCATGATGGAAGAAGCCAATGCTGCCTAACAGGATCGCAAGTACCTTTTTCTGTCGGGTTCTTCAGCCGCAGTGGGGCGAAGACATCGGCAGCCAGTTCCATCGAGGCCAGCTCCTAGGATCACGACATCGCAGACTGCACATCGACAGCGCATTTTGTGCTCATGAGTTACGACTCTATCGGGCCATGGCAAACAAAAAATGGCTACCCAAACTGCATGACGAATCACATTGGCCATATGTGTCACGTATTTCCAAATGGTTGGAATACTTACGAGTGCAGATCTTTGATGCGTGTTGTCCAGCGCCACCTCGCGAAGATGGTGCCAAGTACTCATCCAATATACGAGATGTGCGGGTTCTTGATGACATCAAGAAGTTGCAGCATTTGCTATGCGTGGGCCCCCCAGACAAATTCCAGGCCTTGGTGGTGCAGAATGTTGTCATATATCAGAACGATATGAAGGCACACCTGGCCAACATGGAGTTTTATGCCCCCCTACGTGACGCCCAGCACGAACGCCGAGCCACGCAAGATTGGGACGCTAGTTATCGGCGTTTTTCCCCGACCCTACGCGAGCATTCCGGCGTGCAGGGTATATGGTATCACAGAATACTGTATTACATGTTTGGGAACTGGCCGTCCCCGTGGCGAAGTTTCCGATCAGGCGCGACGCCCTTCTTCTATTCAATGTTCCAGGGCACGTACAAGCTACGCAAGATGGAGGATATAGATATGAAGAAGACGCAAAAGCTTCATAATTATCCGACTCACTTGGTTCCTGTACGACCAGTTATTAATTCAATTGGGGACTGGAGGAAACGAGCGGCATATTGGATTGGACAGGTACTGCAGCCTATTATGCCGCAGCTGCCAGGGGTGACGTGCTCTTCCAGACAGACGCTCGTTGCGTATGAAACCCTGGAGGTGCAGCCGGCCGCGTTCCTAGCGGAGTTCGACATCGCAGACTTCTTGTTGAACATCGATGCGCAATATTGTGTAAATGTTGTAATGTGGGCAATTGGAGTATATCTACCCCGACTCCCGCGTGAACAAAAACAGCTGGTAGAAACAATGCTCACCTTCTGTTTCACAAATTCTTTATCTTCGATGGGGATCTCTACAGGCAGGTCAAAGGAATAGCAATGGGGCTAGACTGTGCCCCACAAATGGCTGCTTTGGCTGCTTTCTACTATGGAAGGTATCGCGGAGCCATGCAAAACCAACAAATCGCCGCGCGATCTTGGCAGAGATATTTGGACGACGGCTTATTCGTATGGAATGGGTCTGCGAACGCATTGCGACAGTTTCAGGACATCCTTAACACGCCTTGTACCACGCCTTTGGGCACATGCCGATTCAACTACAAATTCACCGTCTCACGTTGTACTGCAATTTTTCTGGACATGAGGTTCCAGAAGGCCGGCAGGTGGGACGCAACCGGCGTGCTGGAGGTCTCGCTCTACGAGAAGCCGCAGAACCCGCGCGCCTACATACCTTCGTCAAGTCACCATTCGCCGTCCTTGGCTCGGTCGTGGATTCGGCAAGAGGCGAAACGGCGCCTCACGCACAACTCGGATCCAGCACGGGCCCCCCAGGACCTGGCCCGCTTAATTGGGGCCAACCTAATCTCCAGAGGATACAGTGGGCAATTTTGGAGACAAGCTGTAGATGGCCCTTCTCATGGATGGTGGATGGATTAACTTGGTTTGCACGCCCGCGTGGATTACGGCCATTGCCGTGATGGGGCCCAGGCCAGATGCCTGACTTTGGTATTGCCCTTCCACCGAGAGGCAAACAGACGAATCAAGGGAACGATGGCAATCCCAAGCGAAAGTATGCAACATCTGGACACTCAAGGTTTCCAATCAAACTCTTCTTGCACACGTACGAGGGCGGTAGGTTGGGGTATGTGGTGGGCCCGCTAAAGTTGAAGCTCGCAGCCAAACGTGTTACGACGGATCTGGCAAATTTGCGCAACGACATGTCTCAACACCATGCGTTGGAACATGCCATAGCCATTTCCTCTCCAGCAGTTGCCTGAAGACGCTGAGGCAGAAAAGGCCTAGCGACTGCGAGCCGAGAGCTGCGCATGCAGTGCACGCCAGTGCAGATACATTTTCTCTACATATTTGCATCTTCGCTCGGGCGCCGAGCGCGCGAGCGCACTTGCACATAAGCCGAGGACTGCAGTGAAGAAGCAGGTATTATTTTTCTTCTTCTTCTTTGGGGCCTGCACACTCACCGCGCGTCCTTGCTCTACGCGTTGACTGCGCAGGGGAAGGTGCTCTGGTCCGGCGACGGCGACCGGCTCTCCCCGCTCGAACTCCCCCTCTCGCTTAGGTTCTGGAACGAGAATCGCTTCGCGCCCCCGCTCCCCCCTCGGTTCTGCTTTCCCGGGCGGGGATTTTATCCGTGACCACGGCGTGGTTTCGTGTTCGGAGGATGTCTGACGTGGCATGCCGTTTTGCACTGCAGTGGACGGTTTTTCTGGTCCGGCGACGGCGAGCGGCGCTCCTCGAATCCCCCCGCTCAGCTTAACCCTGAAACGAGAATCGCTTCGCGCTGGCCCCCCGTGAGCTTTGTTTTCGAGGGAAGGAGAACGACGATCATGACCAAGATGTTGCGGGATCTGGTCGACGCTAGTCTCAGTCATGGTCTGGCGACGGTGAGCGACTCTCTCCCTTCGGTCTCCCCCGCGAAGTAGTCGTTCATACAAGCCATCGCTCGCAGGACAGCCTCTCGGCGTAGCTGGGCGCTCAAATATTACTAGTGTGCACGGCGCTCGGAGTGGCTTCGTTTCTCCATTACGCCACCGAGCTTGTCATCGTGCTGCTGTGTCCACTCCCCCCTCCAAAATTGCGCTGGAATAGAAGTATCCCCCACTTAATTAGCTTGATCCCAAAAGCTTCGCATCCCCGTCTGAGTTCTGCTTTCCCCAGCGGGGATTGATCCTTATGAAAAACTGGATTTACTTGGGCCCGCTTGAGCCTGAATTATCTTCATCTTCGCCGCCCCCAGGGTTCCAGGACACCGGTTCCCCGAGCGGGGGATATGGATACATCCCTGCCTCGCATGCTTCTGCCTCGCATGGTTTTTCCAAGCTCTCATGTGGACTAGCCTCTGGCTCATGCTGCCTTGGTTCAGGGCCCTTCTGCTTCATGGGGCGCAGGCGCGCTGCCCATAGGCGATGGTGAGGCCGCGGTGCGCCTGAGGTCGCCTCATGGCCCGTGCCGCCTCGGCGCTAGGCGTGCCGCCGCGCTCCCTCGCTCGCTCTCCGCCGTTTCCCCTCGAGATTGAGCTGTTCGAGGAGAAGGAGGAGGAGGAGGCGGCGGACGAACCGCCAGTGCGCACGCTCTTCGTGCACGCCGCGCCGGAGGAGGGTGAGGAGGAGGAGGCGGAGGCGGCGGAGGAGGCGGCGGAGGAGGAGGAGGAGGAGGAGGAGGCGGCGGTGGTGCCTTTCGCGGCGGCGCTGGAGCAGCTGGCCAGGGCGCACGAGGCCTGCCTCGCCGCCGCGCAGCAGGAGAAATGCCAGCTGCGCGCCGAGATCTCCCGCCTCAAGGGCAGGATTGGCATGCTGATGCTGGCGCTGCAGCGCAGCGGCAGCCCCGCGCCCAGCCCCAGGCGCGAGGCCGCGGCGGCAGGCTCGCCCGCCGCCCGCGGCGCGGCGAGGCCCACCGCCGCCGAGCGCCCCGCCGCGGCGGCCTGCGTGTCCCCGCAGCTGCAGAGCTCGCGCAGTGCAGGGGCGCCGCCGGAGGCCCCCGCCGCCACGAGGCCCAGCAACTCCCCGTCGCAGAGGCTCGAGGAGGGAAGAAGCGGCGACACGCTGTGCACTGCAAGCGGCGAGCGTGTCGCTCCGCTCCGCGGGGCGGGACGCTTCGAGAGGCGCGGGTCGTCGACGCTCGGGGGCTGTGGAACTAGGATAGCGTGTCGCGCCGAAGCGCGGCGGGCCCGAACCGGCGCAGCGACACGTTGAGCCAAAGTTTCTGACCCTTAGCTCTCGACGGTCCGCGCGGACTTTTTGGATCTGCGCTGAACCCCCTTGGCGGCGCTTCCGGCGCCGTCTCCAGGGCGCTCTCCGGCGCAGATCCGAGTAGTCCATTCGGACCGTTGAAAGCTTACGGGCAGGACCTTTGGCACAGCGTGTCGCTCCGCGGGTTCTGGTCCACCGCGCTTCGGCGAGACACGCTATCCACGTTCCAGTCCCCGAGCGTCGACGTCCCGCGCCTTTCAACGCCTCCCGCCCCGCGGAGCGAGCGGTGCGACACGCTATCCGCTTGCAAGGTTTAGCGTGTCGCCAGTGCCGCCGCAGCGACACGCCAAGCCAAAGTTCCTGACCGTGAGCTTTCGACGGTCCGCGCGGATTTCTCGGATCTGATCTGGGCTCCCATCGCGGCGTCTCCAGTGCCGCACCTGGCGCGCTCCGCGCCAGGGCGCCAGAGACGGGGTCACAGCAAACTGGGGCACGGGGAACGCCGATTGTCACCTTTGGCTAGGCTATGCCCCTCTTCATTGGGCCCTGGGCTCCGTAGACGGGGGCAAAGGAAACGGGGGCACATGGGAAAGCCTAAGTCCCCGCTTATCTATGCCCCTCTTTTATCGGACGGGCCTAGGATCGAGATGATTCCGTTCCAGAGCGTGGCCGCGGCGCCTGGTACATTCTCTCAGAGATCTCCCATCTGTATCGGTCCCATTCTGCTGCGATCCTGCCTCCGTCTTCCTGTCCGGGGCCCCGATCCGCGCGGACCGTCGAAGGTTCGCGTGGCGATGCTGCTTCCTCCCCCTCCTCCTCCTCCTCCTCCTCCTCCTCCTCCTCCTCCTCCTCCTCCTCCTCCTCCTCCTCCTCCTCCTCCCTCCTTCCTCCTCCTCCTCCTCCTCCTCCTCCTCCTCCTCCTCCTCCTCCTCCTCCTCCTCCTCCTCCTCCTCCTCCTCCTCCTCCTCCTCCCCCTCCTCCTCCTCCTCCTCCCTGCAGAGGCGGCCGCTGAGCCCGCGGGTCCCCGAGGTGCCCCGCCCCGCGCCGGCCCGCGCGCCGACGCCGCCGGAGGCGGAGGGCTCGCCCGGCGGGTCCCTCGGGAGGGCGGCCGGGGAGGCGGCGTCGGAGGCGGGGGGTCGGGTCGGCCACGCGCAGAGGGTCGAGCAGTGGCGAGGCGTCCCGGCGTGCCCGATAGGCCTGCCAAACATCGGGGGCGGCCCTTTTATGACGAAATCTGGAGTAGGGGGGGGGACATCATGGCGGGGGCCATGGTATTTCCCCAGATTTCATGGCGCCTCTTCTTGTTTCATTACGTCCCTGGCCCCCCCGCTGGGCCGCGCACATGCCGCCGGTCATGATTTGCGCCCCCCCTCTTGGACACCCCCCTCTTGGCCGCTCCCGAGAGATGTTCTTAGGACATTTCTGGCTGGGACCGTCTTGTCTTTTATCACATCGGGTTCATGTTCGGAGAATCTTGTTTCTGTTACTAGAGCATTTTGGGGGTTCTACGAGCATGTCGTGGTAGGCCTCTAGGAATGCCGGGACTGTCGGTCCCTGCTCGAAAGGGGGGCGTAGGGGTGGGGGGAGGGGGGGAGGGCTCCTCAGAGGAGCACCCCTGCTTCTTAGAAGGCGCGGGTCCTGTCTACAGATGTGGGGCGGGCGCCTTCTCAGGAGCAGCCTCCTTCTAGGAATCCTTCCCCCCTCCCCCTGTCCCCCGTGTGCGCGCTGCCCAGAGGCGGCCGGGGAGGCGGCGTCGGAGGCGGGGGGCGAGGAGGCGCCCGCGGCGGAGGATCGGGGAAACGTAAGACTCAGGAGGGAACAACAGCACACAGACGCAAATAGTTATCGATTCCGAGGAAAAAGATGAAAAGATGGGAAGTGAAGGGGCAGGGAAACGAAACATCCAGGGCAAATGTAAAATAGGTGGAGTTCTGGGATTCGTGTTCACTATTTGTGTGTCCCTGGGCCCCGTAAGAGACTCGAGTTCACCCGAGCTCGGGTTCTGCCAACCCGTTTTGACGGGCCGGTCCTGAGTTTCGATGGTCTAGTTTTTGTGGGATGTTTGCAGCGGGAGTTCGCGTCAGATTTTAGGTGGGGTCTCGTCATTTTCCCGACGGCCCCATCGGGCCAACCCGAGTCCCCAGAACCCGAGTTTGATGCACCCCTGAGAGGAGAAGGAGGAGAGGGTGACGGTGCTGACCGTGTGCGGCAGCGATCGCGGGGACGACGAGCTGAAGGACGACAGGAACACGCTCCTCACCGTGGAGGTGGCTTTCCAGGATGATGTTTTGTAAGGGTCCAGCTATAAGCCGGGTTATCGCGCCCGCCTTCACCCTTTCCCCTCCCCCTAACTAATCGGATCTTGTCAAGTGCGCAGGTCCGAAGGGGGTACGCAGTATTGGAGCGTGCGGGCGTAACTCTTCACGCTTCGCGTATCCCCACCATGATTGGAGTTCTCCCCGCGGTGTCCGTGTACGTCTGTCGCCACCACCGTTGTGCTGACTGCGGGCACGTGCTCCCTATTCAGGGCTTTGGTGTGCGACTTCGCTGGCGCCACCTCTTGCACCCGTCTGGCCCTGGGTCACGGTTTGGTTCCCCGAGCTTCCCACGGTCGCTTTCGTGGTGCTCCGCGCCATTTTGGCCGCACTGCAGCTTCACTGCTCTTCGCACTTGTGCGTGCTGCTGCTGTTGGACCCTTTTGGCACCTCGCACCTCGCAGCTTGCCGATGCTCACGCCCATTCTGGGCACCCAATTCGACCTCCGACTGTCGGTTCACTTGGCTGCGGCCACCCTGGTACCTTCGCAGTAGTCCGGGGGCTTGCGCCCTTGCAACTAATTCCCGTCCGCAGCTTTCACCGGTCGCCGGTTACCCTGGCCGCCTGCTGCCTCCGACGCGTTGCATGCGTGCACCCTGGCAGTCTTGGTATCCAGCCTACCGCCAGCGTTTTCCACTCGCCGGCCCGTCGCCGAGGTGCTGCGTGAGGCCCCGGCCCACCGCTTTAGGTTAATTCGTCTTTGCGCGCCTCGCTCTGCCTGGTCTCGCCGCTGGCGCGCTCGCCTGCGGCCGCTGACAAAAAAGTATCCCCACCATCCCGTTCAGAAACGTTGCGTAACGAGCTGACGGAAAAGAGACGAAAAACCACATTCAGCTATTGAAACACAGCGGGCACCAGTATGAACAGAAAGACCTCTGGGAGCAAGGGGGTGGCCTTGGAAGGCCTCCTCGGGCCGTTCCTGGGGCCCGCGGGGGGCGAGGGGAGCGAGGGGAGGAGGCGGAGGAGGCAAACCGCTGCTTGTGGCCCTCGTGGGACGCTATTGGGGCTCTGTTGGGAGCTCTTTGGGCTGTCATGGGACTATCTTGGGACCCTCTTGGGGCTCTTGGGGCTTTTTGCGGCCCTCTCGTGAGCCCTGGAAGGCATCTTGAGGCCATATGGAAGGCTATTGATCAAATGAGAGGGGAGCCCGATGTTAGCCCCCACCCCATCCCCTAGGGCCATCACGTCGCCTCCTGAGGTTCTCTTGGGGCGCTCTTGAGCCGCTCTTGGGCGCTCATGGGGCCGTCTGGGGGGCCTCTTGGGCCTCTCTTGGGTCATCGTGGGGCCATCTCGAGGCCTCAAATCGCATGTGAATCGAAAAAGGCGATAAGGCAGCACGATATTGATTTTCTTTAGAGTTGGAACCATTTTGTGTCCCCCGTCGAGCCTCTTGGAGGTATGTCAGAAGCTAGCTTGAAACGTCTTCTGCTATCTTGAGCCATTTTGGAAACCATCTTGAAGCATCAGAGGCCCTCTTGGCGCCATCTTTGGCGCAGTGACCGGTCGCGGCCCTCCCAAAAAACCTTCAGGGAGGGGAGGGGGAGGGCACCCCTCTCCGAAGGGAAAAGGTTTGGGTTTGAGGGAGTTTCTGTCGAACTCACGTCATCCAGACCACGGGCGCTCGAGAAAGTCGCCTCCAGCGCACCCCTGGGACCATTTCCGGCGCTGCGCTGGGCGCGTCCCCATCCGGCGCTCTCGCTCGAGACATCCTCGCAGCATCGCCCCACGGGCCCCCAGCGCACCCCGAGGAACCATTTCCGGCGCTGCGCTGGGCGCGTCCCCATCCGGCGCTCTCGCTCGAGACATCCTCGCACCATCGCCCCACGGGCCCCCATCTGCAGCGCACGCCCACATGGGGCCGTTTCCGGCGCTGCGCTGGGCGCGTCCCCATCCGGCGCTCTCGCTCGAGACATCCTCGCACCATCGCCCATTTCTAGCGCTGCGCTGGGCGTGTCCCCATCAGGCGCCTTCCATCATCACGATCCTGATCCTCACTCTTCTCCTGATCCTCACTCTGCTCATCCTCCATTGCTCCACACTCGCGCGATACTCACCCTGCTGATCCTTCATTCTCTTCATCCTCGCTCTCCTGATCCTCATTTTCCACATCCTCACCTTCCTGCTCCACGCTCGCCTGATCCCCACCCGCGTGATCCTCACTCTCCTGATCCTCCCCCTCGCAAGCCTCGCCCTCTGGATCCTCACCCTCTTCATGCTCACCCGCCTCACCACCGCCTCCCGCTGAGTCCCCCCTCGCCCACCAGCGCGCGCCTCTTCTTCTATGTATTTGAAGAAACTCCCGATCAAACGCAGAGCGGCCAGCTAGTAAGAGGAAAGACAAATGTGTTAGACCACTTTAGCCCGAAGGGTAAGTCGGATTACGTGGGGCTGCCCAAGGCGAGAGGGTGAGGCTATCGGCCGACACCTCCTCCCCACCGGATAACCTGGGTTATTGCCGAAAAAAAGAAATCTCCAGACGAGCCCGGAGAAGAATTGGTCCAGGTTGGTGGGCAAGTTCCTCAACAATGTCGCCAACAAGGAGCTGCTCTGCCTCAACCCCGATTGGGTCAAGTCGACGGATTTTATCCGCAAAGTGGAGCGTTCATGGAACCATGTTCCTGGGGCGACAGACATCCTGGCCAACCCAGAATTCAACCCGCGAGCACGCAAGAACACCGTCACCCTTGAGCACAGCACCTTCTTACGGCGGAGCATCTTTTCGGGCTCCAGCTGGGGAACTCCTGGGCAGAGCTACCGCACTCCACACTCGGCGCTGGGCGAGGACGGCAACGTGGTCGTGAGGTTCCTGGGCGGCCTGGTCATGGACCCCCAGTCGCCGAAGCGGATCTGCATTGGGATGCTGGGCCTTCTCCTCATGGTGTCGAAGACGCCTGCGGCGGATCACCGCCGCCCCCCTGCCTCCTAGAATCGCCCATGTGGCCGAGCGTTGTGGCAAGAGCTCTGCCAAGCCATCGGACCATGTGTTCCCCCAGTCGTTGTGGAGGGCGGTTGAAGCAGGCTAGCGTATTTTGTCAGATAGGTTTTGCTATGGGATTCTGAGCATGTGTCTGACCGTTGTGACACTTTGGCTCAAGGGAAAAACATCTACTGTCCCTGCTGCTGCTACAGTTGGTAGCGGAGCCTGGTGCGGCCCGGCGGCCATGGGCGGCGAGGAGCGGCCTCAGTAGGCCCAGCTCGCTCGCAGCTCGCGTGCCCCCGGCCTGTCCCAGGCTCGCGCCGACGTGCGGCGCGGATCGCGGAGATGCCCGCGGAGGAAGATCCACCCAAGGCGGATGAAATCGCGGCGTTCACCGACCTCTCAGGCGCGGCCCCGGCAGGGCCGCCACCAGTGACCCTCTCGGCTCAGCAGCTGAGGGAGCTCCTGGCCGGAGTCGTGAGGGAGACTCTGGGCACCATGTCGACGCCGATCCCGACACCAGCGGCGGGAGCGGCCGAGCCAGCGGCTGCCGGGGCAGCGGCTGGCGACGCAGCGGCGGCGACGACGGGAGCGACGACAACGGCGGCCGAGAGTCGAGACGGTGAGCGAGCCCAGGAATGGGACCTCTGGCGAGGTTGGCACGACGGATCGGCAGCAGCAGCAGCAGACGCCAGCTGGACCAGCAGGGGCTCCTGGGAGCACAAGTCCGGCGGAGGACTGCCGGACGACGACAAGTGGAAGGACTACGTGAAGAACGACAGCGGCTGGCAGACCGGCCGCGACGACGACTGGGGACGGCAAGCAAAGCTGGCAGTCCTGGTCGTCGGGAGGCCGGTACGGCGGTGGTGGGGCCAAGGGCGACTATTCGGATCCACCACAATGGCCCGGATGGACCCACTACCGCCAGTGGCGCAAGGCATTGCGACGATGGAACACGAACACCGACGTTCCAGTCTGGAGACGCATCGAGAAGTTCCTGCGGCTCTTCGAGTGGAGCATGCAAGCGCACTTCGCAGACTTGCCCGAGAAGACCGTGACGAGCGATGACTGGATCGACGCCGTGCTTCGGAAAACGGATGTGATGATAGGCGAGCGCGAAGGCGACGACCTTCGCAGGAGTGGCAGGAAGGCACTCTACGAGGCAGCGCGTGAGGCGAAAGAATCACTGACCCAGTTCGTAGCCAGGCGAGAGTCACAGTTCCAGGAGGCAGAGGCACATGACTTAGTCCTCTCATCGAAGATCAAGGGATTTCTATTAGAAGAAGGATCCAACCTCTCAGCGCAGGGTATGCAGAACCTGCGCACACTCACGCTAGGCCGACTTGATTTTGACAGCGTCAGCTGGGCACTGCGTCAGATGGACGCATCTGGCACTGAGCGCATGTTGCCTGGCGGTAGGTCGGGCTCCACGCTAGCAGGCGCCGAGGCCGAGGGGCCGGGCGCCGCCTCAGGACCCTCTCCTCCTCTTTCCTCCTACCCGGTCGGTCAGTCATAGGTGCCATTTCGGACGAAGAGGAGGACGACTACGACCCGGGCGAGGACGAGGAGGACTCGCACGACGATGGCGAGGACGAGGCAGCCATCCTGGCAGAGATCGAAGACCTCGACATCGACGAAGAGCAGGTCCAAGAGGCGCTGGCAGCGCTGGAGTCCAGGTCCAACAAGAGGACGTGGAAACATAACAAGGATTTGAAGCGGGCTGCCAAGAACGACCGAGGCTACTTCGGACGGCCGCGCCCCAGCGGAGGCGCCCCGCCCTCTTCCCAGCCTCGACTTCCCCGCGGAGAGGGCCGTGGTGGCGGCCGCAGTCGAGGAGGGCGAGGGCGCGGAGGCGGCCGCGGCGGCCGGAGGCCCCCGCTTTCGCCGGAGCAGATGATGAAGGTGACCCGCTGCGGCATCTGCAAGCAGAAGGGGCACTGGCGTCGCGGGTGCCCCGATTAGGATAGCCCGCGGTTTCAGCAGCGAGATCAGAAGAGGCACCTCTCGGCCTACACCTTCGTCGGCTGCGAGGTGGGCCCGAGCCAGCCCCTGTCCAGCGACCTGCTCGACAGCCTGAAGGAGGCGAGCATCGAGATGCTCGGCGGCAGGAGCGAGGCACAGGTGCTCCTCGCCGGGACAGCGACCGAGGCCCTCGTCGACCCGGGAGCCGGCAGCGACCTCGTCGGGCTCCCGTCACTGAACAGGGTTTCCAAGGCACTGGCCGCCATTGGCATGTGCTTCGAGGCCATCCCGAGGCACGCCCAGAGACCTCGTGCAGCGCACGGAGTGGGAGGCGCAGCCAGGGTCCTGGGCACAGTACTTTTTCCGATTTGTCTAGGAGGTTCGCTCGGCATCATTGAGACCACAGTGCTGGCGGATGACATTCCACATAGCTTGAGCGTTAATCTTCTTGATTTTCTAGAGTGCGCCATCGATTTGCCAGAGAACACCGTGAGCTCGGGATTTCTCAAGACAGTGATACCCCTGACGCGTCTGGGCTCGGGGTACATCATGGCCGAAGTCGTCCGGCCGCTTCCCATGCCTCTAGAGATCCCGGACACCGCACTGTGCAAGTACGATTTCTTGAGCAAGAATTCGTTCACCCTTGGAGACAGGTCCCCTCCGGAGATGCTGGCCTCCGGAGAAGTCCGATACTGCGCCCTCCTCCTCCTCCTCCTCCTCCTCCTCCTCCTCCTCCTCCTCTTTCTCATCGCCATCATAGTCAGCATGACGACGGTTGTGAGGGGGCAGTTCGGCGGGTCTCTCAACGGGGCCCTGGGGCTCCTGTTTCTCGGGATTATCGGGATCGTCCTGTCGCGAGCTCAGCTAGCGTCCGATGAGCGGTGGGGGCGCTTAGAATCGACCAGAGAAGCTAAGGCGACCGCCAGGGCGGCGCGCGGGCAGGAGGTCCCGGGACGATCCGAGGCACTGATTCCGTTCCCCGCGTAGCCACTTTTGGGCTCGAGCTATAGGAAAGGCCATTCAGTCTCTCCCCTTTCGCATCTTCGCACCGATCAGCTCACCAGCGATGCTGATGCAGAGAGCGGTGCTCGGGATGCTGCTGGGGGCGCTCAGCTTCGCGCCGGTCCAGGGCAGAAAGAAGAAACCGGCGGCCTGGGAGGCCACGCAGTGGGGGCTCGAGAGGCAGCGCCAGGCCGCGCTGCAGGAGCTACAGCCCCAGAGCGTCGCGGGCACCACGACCATGACCGACGGGGCGACGCCTGCGGAGGCTGCGGGTACATCACCTCCCGCAGTCCCAGCAGGAGGCGCGGCGGAGGCCACTTCGGGGGGCTACCCCGCGACCGACACCGTCATGCAGACAGGGATCGCTGACGGCTCCGGGACTCTCGGCTCAGCTCGCGGGGCAGCCGGCAGCGCGGCGGCGGCCGACGGCGACGACGTTCCCGCGCAGGCCCGAGTGGTTCGGGGCCGGGCGCCCGAAGCCGCCCCCGAAGCCAGATCCGCGCACCGGCCAGCTGCCAGGCCAGTTTCAGCGCGCGCCCATCCCGATGGTCATGACGCCGAACGGACCCGTACCAGCCGAGCCCCCTCCAGTGATGCCTCCAGTGACGCCGCAGGTGACCGACCAGGAGGCGCCGGCGGGGGCCATGATCGGAGACGACGTCAGATGCGGACACCCTCAGCACGACATCCGCTACTACGGGAACCAGCATGGCAGCGGATCCAAGTGCACGCGCTGCGGCACGAGGCCCACGTGGATCCCCCGGGCGGCCCTCGGGCACAACGACCCTGCCGAGAGGCCCGAGCAGACGGCTGCTCAGGCCGCGCGGACGGCAGCTGCATCAGCGCAGAGAGCAGTCGAGATCTTGCAGGAGAACGACGGGTTCACCTCGGGGGCGGCCGCGCTGAACACTGCGAATCAGCTCGGGGGGCTACTGCAGAGCCTCCAGTGGCAACTGGCATCCATCCCCGAAGGCATCCGAGCCCTCGCGAACGTGCAGGTGGTCCTCGATGCCATGACGGCGCGCGCCCAGGCAGCCCAGAACGCTCCGGGCCAGGTCGAGGAGGGGGTGATGCAGATCCATCAGGGAGTGGTGAAGATCCAGAGGGTCCTGGGGTCCTTAGAGGAGTTCGGCGAGAGCATCAACTTCGCGCAGACGAGTGTCGACACGGTGATCACGAACATGGCGACCCTGCAGCAGAGCGTGGACCAGCTGACATACATGATGGTGCAGATGGGCACGGCTGTCGGAGCACTGACAGCAGCTGTCGGGGTCATGCCAGACCCAGCGGCAGCAGCGGCAGCCAGCAGCGGCAGCGTTCGGGAGCCTCCGCCTCCGAATTACCCTCCTCCTCCAGACAGGCAGCCCGACGGGGGTCAGAGTGGAGGCGGCGCTACCAGCGCCGCAACGACACCAGGATGGGAGCTGGTGTGAGCAGCTCACTGCGCCCACGGAGCGGCCCAGTGATCGAACTCTCGACTTTCGTGCCGCGACTGGCGGCAAGTTTCTCGGCCTGCAGCTGCTACCAGGCCGAGAATAAGAAAATAGGGTGTCTCTCCTACTCCTGCTCTCCTGCTACTTCCACTCTTGACCCTGGCTCTCTCCACCCTTCCTCTCAGCGCACTCTCGAGGCCTGTTATTGTGTCGGTGTGCCTGTTTCCCCGGCCGAGGTCCCGGCTCGTGAAAAGGGCCCTGCCCGAGGCCTTCTGGTTGGACGGCGATAGATATAACGACGACAGGGAGGCATCATGCCCGAAGGCCGTCTTGGCGGCCACGGAGGCCCTTGCTAGGAGCGCTCTCGGCGAGGCGACGGCTGACGGAGCCCTCGGCGCAAGCGCAGCTTCCGTTGGGGCCGGTTACCCCGCCCGCACGGGGCGCCGGGCCAGGATCTCATTCATGGAGATCTTCTCCCCTCCTCGGATGGCGCCAGAGGTTGAACGCGAAGGAGGGACTTTGGGGGACCGACCCAGCTGCGACAGGCTTCTGGGATGGGACTCGTC